GAGCGGGCCGTGGGCAAGAGCTCCGTGACGAACTTCGAGCTCCAGATCAACGACTCGGAGGGGTTCCTGGCCTTCGTGGAGACGCTCAAGACGGACCGCAGCAAGGCCTGCATGAGCGTGCCCACCCAAGTCGGCGCCCGCACGCTGCAGCTCTCCAAGCTCATGATGGAGAAGGCCTACTACCTCCACATGAGGAGGCTCTTCCCGAAGATGAGGCTGCTCTTCACGGACACCGACTCCGTGATGGTGCAGATCTTCGAGCTGCAGGACCCGCTCCACGCCATGGCCGAGGCGAACCTGAACGGCGCCGCCCTCTTCGACGTGGCCGGCAAGTCCAAGGACCCCGAGAGGGACCTGAGCGCGCTCTCTGCAGCGGCGCGCGCCAAGGCCATCGAGGTGATGGGCCAGCTGGGCAAGCTCGGCGACGAGACCTTCCCCGCCAGGATCCTGGAGTACGTGGGCCTGCGCTCCAAGATGTACAGCATCCTCACGGTCCAGCCCGACGGCGCGCGCAAGGAGAAGCGCAAGATCAAGGGCGTGCCGAAGAAGGCGGTGACCAACGTCCGGCATCTCGAGTACCGGGAGGTGCTGGAGGAAGGCAGCGCAGGGCGGCCTTCGCGCAGCTGCGCAGCCGCGCGCACGAGATCGCCGTGGAGACCGTCGAGAAGAAGTCGCTCTCGCCCTTCAACGAGGTCTACGGCCTCGACGCTCACAACTCGCGGCCGCTGGGGCACTGGCGCAACCTGGAGCAGCTGCGGATGGAGTTCCTCGTGGGGCCCCCGCCTCTGGGGCCCGCTCCAACGCTGCCGCTGCGGCTGAGCCGCTGCTGGGCGTAGACTGTCGGAACCGGAAAAAAGAAAGATCCCGAGCTCTCGTTTTCTCGCCTTCACACTTTCTCGTTCTCGATAATGCTTATTTCGATCCGCCACAGCTGCTCAAGATGACTTCCTCAGCGGCCTTCCGGTGCGTGCAGGCATGGCTTCTGGAGAAGCCCGCCGCGTGGGCGGACGAGGACGCTCCCTGCCTTGCGGCTGCTCTGATGGCCCAGCGGCCTCCCTGCGACATGCTACGCAAGCGGCCTCGCGAGGACGCGCTGCTCGAGGCAGAGCGCTCGCACCAGCGCGCTCGCATCGCGGGCCTCGATGAGAAGCTCCTCGATGAAATTCAGCGCGGCTTGGAGCGGGAGCGCGAGAACAGATCTCCGCCGGCGGGTGGGCGGCCTCAACGATATCATCGACAGAGAGCGCGAGCGAGCTAGGGAGCGAGTAGTAAGGAAAGAAGGCTTATAGTATCCAATTAATTTTCGGATTTTGGTCCCAAAACCCTGCAAAACAGCCAAATTCTTCAACCCGCTGAACGTTTTTCCGATGTCACCGTTCAATGTCACCACTCCGTTTTGGGTGCAAAAAGCGCTGAAAACGGCGAACTCCGAAAAGTGCGTTTTTTCGTGTCCTGCGTCAAAAGTGCAGCCCGGGCCTCCAAATTCGCTCGTTTTCCTGCGAAAACCGGTTCCAGGTGTTTGCAGTGCTCCGAAATCCGTATTCTGCCCCGAAAAACCTGCGAATTCCAGCCCGCCGAGCTTGTCACCGCCGATGTCACCGGTCTCTAACACGTCAGCCCGCCGAGGCACGGCCCAGAGCCAGCCAGCGTCTGACGCGGCAGCCCGCCGAGGTGCTTCCGAGTAACACGTCAGCCCGCCGAGGCTTTTCCACGTAACGCGTCAGCCCGCCGAGCTCGTCACCGCCGAAGTCACCGGTCTCTAACACGTCAGCCCGCCGAGGCCCCGGGAGGAATCGAGCCTCCGAAACGTCGCTACGGAGAGCAGCGCAACGCTTAAACCATCTCACTATGGGCTCTCGCTACCTATCCAAAACGGCGCTTTTTGGCCCAAAAACACGGTCATCAGCGATGTCACCGCTTCGTCACCGCTCTCTCTTTGGGGCCGAAAAGTGCGCAAAAGGTTCAATGCCGGGGATGCAGGGATTGCCTGCAGAAACCCTGCATTGGACCTTGGGCTCTCGTTACCAGCCCCAAACGGCGCTTTTGGGGCCGAAAAGTGCGCAAAAGGTTTGGAAAAGCGAAGTCGGATTGGGGCCTGGTGCGGCCCTGGCAATCCTGTGTTGGCCACAGGATTGCCCCAGTCAATCCTGCGGCACACACAGGATTGCTTCATTCAATCGGGCAACAGGATTGCCCCAGCCATTCCTGCGGCACACACAGGATTGCCCTGATGCGCTACCAGCAGCTCTGGCTTGGAGCCGTTCTTGCCCGAGCACAGCCTTGCGATGGAGCCGGCCCTGCTGTAGAGCTCCCAAGCTTCAGGCACGTCGTTTATGCTCAGGAGGAAGGGCAGGCCGCTTGCGAAGAGCGCGTCTCGGAGCTCTGAGTGGAAGGCCAGGTCATGCCCCCGCCTTCTCGTGCCATAGTAGTTCATGCTGCGGCCTGGGAAGATGTAGGGAGGATCGGCGTAGATACAATGCCGCGGCGCTTGGCTGGGCAGAGCGCGTAGATAGGCCAGTGCGTCCTGGTGCCGCACGGTCACGTTTGTGGGAGGGCGCTGCATACGCCGCACGCTGCTCAGCCCCAGCGGGCGCTGCTGTGTGAAGGAGCCCCACTTTCCCGAGAAGCTGTTGCGCAGCAGGACGTACGAGCAGGCGGCCCGGCGCCCGGCGCGGCCTCTCTGAGTGCCCGGCAGGAGGCGACTGAAGTAGAAGCGCCTGTCTATCTTGCGCCCCGCCAGGCGCAGCAAGGAGCGCAGGAAGACCGGGTCTTGCCTTAAGTAGCAGCGGTGCAGGTTTGCGACGGGCTCGAAGGCGTCGACACCACGCACCTCCAGGGCCGGACGCCGGGTTGCGAGGTAGTACTCCAGCTTTCCAGAGCCGAAGAAGGGAGAGTGAAGCACGGCGACGTCCCCCAGCAGCCGGTGCACGTGTGGAGCTAACCAGGATTTACTTCCCATGTACTTCAGTTGCATGCCAGCCTTTAGATTCATCCCGGTCTCACAGGCGCACGTGAAGTGTACGACCATATCGTACACTTCAAATTCCCTGGCCCAGGCCAGCGAAACACCCCCATGGCCGACCTGCGCACCACCCTGCTCGCGGTCCTGCGCCTCCGGAGCCGCGGCTTCCCCGCGTCGAATTTGGCAAGTAAGGCAAAGGAACAAAGTCATGGGGAAGATCAAGCTGTTTCCTACGGCCGAGTACAGCAGCAAACAGCCCTCGGACCCCGTGGTGCCCCTGGTACCATGTACGGGCATCTTCCTCGGCCCCAGCAAGTCCGGCAAAACCGTGGCGCTGATCAGCATGATTCTGGAGCAATACCGCGGAGTCTTCGAGAAAATCTATATCTTCAGTCCGTCCATCAATATCGACGACGGCTGGATCCCCGTCAAGAAGTACATAGAGGAGGACCTGGGGGTGAATACCGAACGGGAGAGGGCCTACTACGACGAGTGGGACGAGGCAGCGCTGCGGGACATCATCCAGAGGCAGCGCAAGATCACCGAGACATCCAAGAAGTTGGAGATGAAGAAGCTGTATCAGGTGCTGATAATCTGCGACGACTTCGCAGATAGCCCACAGCTGCACAAGGCCCACGGCGCCCTGGACACGCTCTTTATCAGGGGTCGGCACCTCCAAATCAGCACCTGGGTGAGCTCACAGAAGCTGAGACTAATCAGCGCAGCCGTGCGGGTCAATCAGCAATTCCTCTGCTGCTGGAGGCTGCGCAACCAGCACGAGCTGGAGGCCGTCATCGAAGAGCTCAGCGCCCTGCTGCCGAAGGACAAGCTGCACAGGATCTACGAGCAGGCGACCCGAGAGCCCTACAGCTTCCTCTTCGTCTACTACCTCAAGCCAAAGAATGAGATGTTCTACTTGCGCTTCGAAGAGCGCTTCGCTCTGGAAAAAGAAGCCGATGGGAGCGGCGCTCAGCTTCCTGGGCCAGAAGCTGTTCGCTAGCTCTACGCTCATCAATGCGAGGTGCGAGAATATCTCCTGCTGCACCTCCGTCGCAGCAGTCCAGCCGCCCGTCGTTCGCAGAACGGGTGGCTTCCTAAAGAAAAGAATGACGACGATCTACGTGGACAGCCGCAAGAGGGTAGCCGGCTCGGACAGCGACTTCGAGGTAGACCTGGGAGAGTCCCTGCACCTGCAGAGCGACGCCAGGCTGGCCGTCTACAAGATCAGAATCGCCGACAGCTTCCTCTCGACAGACCGGGGCCGCTACCTCCCAAGAGAGGCTAAAAGACATTAAACTACATAGTTTAGGGCTCGAGGCGCTAATGTATCGGTTTTGCACGCGGGCGGGTCAAGTAGAAAACTGTTGGGGTTGCGAAAGATGCGCTAAAAGTGTGGTCTTGCGGCGGCGGCCGTGAAACATTTGTAGAGTGGCCCCCCATGGTTCCAGAAAAAACGCCAGCCAAAGCATCCGATCGAAGTGTTGCGATTGCGCGCGCAGGATGTCTCGCGGCAACGCCCATATTCCTTGAGCGGAGCATTCGTTGCGCTCGCCATCGACAAGCAATCTCGCTGCACTTCGCTCCACGTGCGCCAACACCGACCAATTTTCCAGGAACTGGGCCATCAAACATCAGGTTCTTACCTGAAACAGACGACTCCGGCGTATAGTTGTACATATGAAGCAAAGCTATGGGCGCACGCAAGCAAGGCAAGCGTATCCTTGAGCCAAATGTTGGAACAAACAAAACGAAAAACCGAGGGGCGGGCGGGGAGAATGATTCAAAATGGTGGGATCGAATTGGATATGGAGTATATATATATATATATGTATATCTCGACCGAAAAGTGCTTGACATGGATCCATGGATTCCCGTGTTCTGTTCATATCCCGTTTTGCGCGGATGCCTGCCAAAAAAGAAAGAACATACATTTGACAAGACTTAATGAAGCGGGCAAATGGCTTTGGGAATTCGTTGTATTTTCCTTAGCAGGGGCTGGCCAGGTTAATGGAAACCTCGCTTCCCCGACGCAGCACTTTTACTGGCGCAAGGCATTGTCCCCCTCCCACCGCAGAGTGACGCTGACGCAATAATGCGCCAGCGCCCGCCGAGAGATCGTGGTCGGGTGCCCGTGGATCAGGATCTTCCTTGCAAGGCTCGGAGCGCGCAGCACGCTTGGAAAATCGATGCTGTCAGGGGGCTTCAAGCGCCCTATGAAGTCTTCGTTCAGCATATTCGCATAGTGGCGAGCGTTGCCATAAAAAGGCACAAAATCATACAGCCTGAGCGCGCGATTTCACGCGCAGCATGTATGCGCAGCACGTGTGTTCAGTTGACATTGACTGAGGGGCCGGCAAATGTTCGAGCTGATGCTGCTTAGGGCGAATCGCCCACAATGTCTCCTCGCGCTCCAGGCTAGCCTGGAAGAGGCCTGTGACATGCGATGTTTCAGCTGCGACTCAGGGCAGCGCTGTTGCCAAGCCGCTGTCCCAGCAACTGCGGTACATGTGGTAGTACTTCTCCAAGGCAATCTGCGGTTGGAAGGGGTCGCGAGTATTGGTGCCCATATCTCTCCTCACATATGGACAAGCGTGCGACCAAGGGCAAGGGCCTGCAAAATAAATGCCAACAGTGGGCGGGTGCTCTGCGAACAGCGTGTACATGCCTGTCAATCCGTTGAACACACCAGCCACCCACCTGCAGCCATGCACGCAGACGCGCGCTGGCAGTTGATTTTTCTCTTCGAACGCAAACAATCAAAAGCTTGCGGCCATGACGCCAAGCTTCGCGCGTGTTGAGCTCTGCAGCTCGCTGAGCAGCTTGTTCGGCTGCCCAATATACCATCAGGCGTGCTGCGGCCGCCTTCAAGATTTTTTGGCTCACAGTGGGGTAGTCTCCTGCCTTGGGCACCAAAATCTTGCTCGTGAAGAGCTTCGAAGCTGCTCGGACGCTGTGGGCAACGCCTGGTACCGAGAATGCGTGCCAGATCTCACGCGCGCGTCGAAGTAAAACTTGCTAGGGCGCCGGTCTGGCAACACCACTGCTCGTAGTTGAGCTGCAGATCGCGAAGCTTGCTTTCCCGGCCGCGTGAAGGCGCGCTCCAAAGCACGAGCGCACTGCACAGCGCATCTACTGCTATCGCCACATCACAGATATGCATGAGATCAGGCATGATGCCTTAGATTCGTACACGCGGGCAAAAATTGGGCGCGCACGTGCGTGCGCACATGCGTGCCAGGGCTCGCCACACGCTGAACTCTGGCAATCTCGTGAGAGGGGATTTGCCATGAAGAAGCTTGAAGGCTTCCGTGGTAGTGAGCCTTGCGCACGTGTGTGTGGGCTGGAATTTTAATCCAAAAATGCAGCCTAGCAGCGTCTGGCGATGCTGGGCAGATCTTCCAAAGCATGTGTAGTACAGCTCGCGTGGCTCCCCGGACTTGCGGGCGTCACAGTAGATGCAGCACTGCACGTGTTGCCAGGAGCCTTGGAATAGAGGCAGGATCAATTGCTCATGCGTTTACGGGCACAGACAAGGAACGTTTTAGCGCGAAGACTTTCTTCAAATACTCTTGGTCGGCTTGGAAGCCTGCCCAACAGCCTCGCCACGGGCCAGCAATGGGCACGCCTGCTTTCCGGTGTCTTTGCGGCATATACTCCTTTGAGAAGGCCGTGCCCCAGGGGTCGTGCGAAGGATGGACGCCCGTGCCTGCGAAGACAGGGCAACACGGCTGTCACCGGAACAAAAGGCTGAGCCCGCAGCTCATGACCCCAAAGCTCCACACCAGAATGTCCAGTATGTGGTGCCGGGTGTCCTGCAAGCTCATCACGCAGCTACAGACTGCAACTCCAAAACGGCCTGTGGCACATGCCAGGAAGACCAGACGCAGAGCCTATAGGAACAAGGCAGCGAGACAGGGGCACATGATGCATGTGTGGCCAGAGTCATATTTTTGCACTGGTGACCATGAGCGCGCAGGGGGCAGACGCGCCTGATCAACTGTGCACGTGCGTACACTGCAGCGAGCTCTCCCACGCTGTGTGTGTGTGTGTGTGTGTGTGTCCGCCTGCGTGCGCTCGTGCGCGTGTGTGCGCGCGCGTGCGTGCCTGCGCGCGCGCGTGCGGGCGTGCGGGCGTGCGTGCACGCGTGCGCGTGGGGGCGTGGGGCGTTGGGGCGTGGGGGGCATGGGGGCGTGTGGGCATGCGGGCGTGTGTTCGCGTGGGCGCGCGGGCATGTGGGCGCGTGGGCGCGTAGGTGCGTGGGCGTGGGCGTGGGCAGTGGCGTGGGCGTGCGCGCGGGCGTGCGGGCGGGCGGGCGAAAGTGTGCGTGTGCGCGTGCGTGCGTGTGTGTTTGTGTGTGTGTGTGTGGCGGGCGGGGTGGGTGGGTGGTGGGAGGGTGGGGGTGGGTGAGTGGGTGGGTGGGTGGGTGGGTGGGTGGGTGGGTGGGTGTGTGGGTAGGTGGGTGGGCGTGCGGGCGGGCGGGCGAAGGTGTGCGTGTGCGCGTGCGTGCGTGTGTGTTTGTGTGTGTGGCGGGGTGGGTGGGTGGGTGGGTGGGTGGGTGGGTATGGGTGGGTGGGCGGGTGTGGGCGGGTGTTTGCGCCAATCTGTTTGGATCTGCTATGTGCCCGGGATCTTTCATGGCAATGACGCCAGCCAAATCGCATGCCTGAATTCGAAAGCAAGGCCAAGCCGCAGCAGTCGACTGTCCATTGTGGAGCTTCGCGCCACGGCAGCCGGAAGAAGGCTCAAAAGCTCGAAGTTGTTGAGCCCTGGCGCAGCAGCGCCCAAAATACAAAGTATATGCATACAAACATGGGATCCGAAAACACTCGGGCGCCTGAACTTTCAGCGCCATCCCCATATAGCCGAAACGGCACAATGTGCTCTGTGGATGGAACCTTGGGTGAGAGGAGCTCGAAACAAAATCGTGAAGCAAGACCGTTTCTAGGCAGGCAACGTCCAGCCATGTTGCGCAGACATCCGTCGCCAGCTCGGCGTTGAGGTGCCAGAAGCTGCGCAGATCCTGGGCAGAGTTGTAGGGAAAGGCTTGGAAGGCTTTTTTGGTTGAGCGGTCCTGCGGGGTCCCACACACTAAATGCATCATGTCGGTCTGCCAGAGTTGGTGCAGAATGTCGTGGGGCAGCATTACTTCCAGATTGATGTAGGTTTCTCGCCCAGGATTCGGGTGAGCGTGGGGCACTGTGAGGGGGAAGCCTTGGGCTGGCAGCACCTGCCGCCACTTTTGTTTCAAGGCCCAGGCCGCGAATCGGTCTTCCAAATTCCAGCCACCACTGGCTTCGAAGCTATCCGCCAGATTGAGCACACTTGGCCTTGAAGCGGAGCACTTTGCCAAACACGGTATCTATAGTGTGTGTGCTGCCAAATGTCGGGACTAGAAAATGAGGAATAGCCAAAATATTCTGAAGGAACTTCCTCAGCCTTTTCATAGATGCCTTCAAGCGAGTCGCAGAACAAATCGACGCCTGCATGTCAGGCCTGGCCTCCCCGTTGGCCAGCATGGCAAAGAAATCGTGGGTGATGTTCTTCACGCCATCCGAGGAGATACGTGGGCGCTTGCTGGCCTGGCAGCGCGGGCAGTCCATCCATCTGTGAGCGAACCGTGAACTTCGAGATCGCAACCCGGCCGCACGCTTTTGTCTGATTCATCAATCCAGGAATTTCGGAGTTTGTCCCATCTTTCGACGGACCCCTATACACTTTTGATACCCCGTGTCACAGCCACACGTTGCGCCACAACCCTCCCAAGAGCCGAAACAGAAGTGCGTGCAATCAATCCGCCTAAGGTTTCACTGTTATTTTGGACACCGGAAGTTTGTTTTAGAAGATACTTCAGCCCCTAGGCAAGATGGCGAGTGCGCCCCAAAAGCTAAAAGCTTTTTGACTCAGCCCAAACATATACAGGGTTTGGGCAGCCCTTGGCTGTGATTTGCCCCAGCCGTGCTCATAGCACAGCGAAAGTAAAACACTTCAGGCACTCTCAGCTTTTGACCCCGGAGTGCTCGCTTCTTCCTGCACGCACGCCGCAAAGCAAGAGAATGTTCCAAAGAATGGTCCTTCTCTTGAGCTTTCTGCTTCTTTTTCAAGCCTTTTTTTCGGGAAAGTTGCGGCGGAGAGAACAGCCCAAAACCGGCCATTGCATCTAAGCGCGCTGCGGGCGGCGTATGTTCTGTGGGCCGCGGTGGCGCTTTCCAAGACATCTTCGGCCTCCTGGACAGGCAAAGGGCGGGAGCAAACAGTTGGAGGGCGCAGTCAAACTGTTGCAGGTTTTGACAAGCGGTCTCTCTTCTTTTCAATAGGTTCTGAGAAAACCATGAAACCCTGCAAGAAAGACAAATCCCCCAAACTGCCGATTTTGGTTATCGGAACAAGCCACCGGACGTCGGCGTGGATATAAATTGTTTCCAGCAGCGTTTCAGCACACAATGCTTGCCTACACCCAAGGGAAATCGTTCAAAGGAAGCAGCAAGCGACGGCAGGGCAAGCGTTTGCTCACGTGTCAGGGTGAATCTTGAACGGGCATTGTTCAAGTGGCGTTGGGGGCGTTGTTGCGCCAAAACCTTGCGTGCGTCACATCGATGATAGCAAACATAGCGGGCGAGGGCTTTAGGCACTTGAGTGTTTGGGCCCGAATCATTGGATGGATGGTCAGGCGTATTTTAAGCAAATGCTTAATTGGAAAAGGCCGCAGGACCACAAGGACGAACCGACACTAGCCGCTCGAGGTGCCTCCAGTTGCGCTCGGCAAGCCTCCTTTTCCTTCAAGACATCGACTGGGCTCTGCCCATCCAGCAGCATGTTTTCCAACCTGGGGCGATCAAACCCTTTTTTGGCAAAACACAACCCAAATGATTTTCACGAGGTCGAACCAGCTGGGCTTGTTGATAAATTCTTAAACTGTGACCTGGTTTGTTTTCGGAACTAGGACATGCGTATGCATGAGATTGGTCGGAGCCACATTCAGCCTAGATGCCAGTCAGCCAGTTCCTTTAGCCAGCAGTTCCATTCTTTGAGATTCTCGATCGTAGCCTGGCCGCAGCCAAGTTTCAGGTCCAAGAACTGAAGCGACTACGTTGGCCTCTTGCTGCGGCACTGTGTGCAGGCTTGACACCGCGCTCACCGTTTTCTGGGCCAGGGCGCGGATCCTGAATTGTTAACGTCCCGACCGCAAAACGCATAAGTTCAGATTTCAACTCCAACAGCACGCGTGGCTTGCGCCTGTTTGTCCTTGAATCGCTATTGAAATTTGAGGGGGGTCAATCGTAGG